AGGGACCATCTGACGCCCAGTCAGTTGGGTAAGCCAACCATATTCAATTTCTTCCGGATTTAGAAGAAAACTTGCAGAACACCTACACCCTCCGAGTTCCCTATATAACTGTATGCAACTAACTCTGGACGGGTTGCGCAGGCTGTGCATTAGAGAAGTGAGGAGGTATCTTTCACCGCTATCAGTGAGTTACACATACTGTATATGGCATCCACATACCGAACAAAAAAAGCGGGCTTCTGATTGGCATCATCGTCTTCAGCCATTCAGCACGATGGGGCCATCAGTCTAAATGAGAGCCAGTTAATTCACTGCAACGTGTGGTCTAGTTCTCCACGTTGCCTATATTTTCCTCACAGACCCGTCCATACTACACCGCTTAACTGTATAAAAAGTCTCTTTGCATTCTATGTTTTCCAGCCTTGTTGCTGGTCAGCAAGCCGGGCAGTGGAGTGCTGCTCGGTTTCAGGCTCCTGTGAGATGCACCATCCTACGTAGCCTGGTGGCACAGTATCCATTTCAGTAGGAGGAGCCTCATCATCGACGCCGTAGAGGAGTTATGGGAGTTGATTTAGTTTGGTGGCCTTATTTTTTTTCTCTACTGAGGTGCCAGAAAAAAAATAGGGCCACCAAACTAAATCAACTCCCATAACTCCTCTACAGCATCCCTACCAGGATCCTTGTTTCTACTCTTATCCACTGCAAGCAATTGTAGTTGTCAAAGCTTGCAGCGCTATACGGAAGACTGTATAATTCGAGTGCGTGTCAAGTGGTAATGTCGCTAGACGCTTTAACTTAATTGATAATCCTTTATTCAAAACCTCTAATTATCACAAGCTGCGGAATAATGGGGATGCCGACAATGCAGAGAATGAGAATAAATCACCAAGCAAACTACTCACCGACCTAAACTCCCACCGTACCAAAGTTTGAGTACAAATTGAATAGGAACACCGGCAAAACCGGCCCTTAATAACCCTCCAGTGATAAATTAAAGAATCATTACGAGAAACACAAACAAACAAACTTTGATCCAAAGAAACGTAGAACAAAAAAAACTATTCAACAAAGAAACTGAAGATGTTGAGGAAGGAACAAGGAAATAAGCCTAGAAATTATAGGAAAGAGATAGCAGAGCTTGAAAAATAAGCGATCACCAGTTTCCTCCTTATCTCTAGAGAGTAATCTTCTTAATAATACTTCGCTCTTTTATTCATGTCTGTCTGGTAATGATCTTCCACCAACTTCTCCAAGAGCGTCCCCTCAGGGTCATGACTGGTACATTACTTTCTTCGGTTCTTGGGACCATTTCGCGTGCCGTCGCGACAGGCACTCTTGCCCTTTGTTGGCTTCAGCGCGCTAGTTGGCTAGCTGTTTTTTGGTGACAAGGTTAACGGAAAGGACAAAAGCAAAGGAGAAGGTAGAACAGCGGCGGCGCAGCTTCATTACTTGATTCTTTATATATCTTAAAATGCTTAAAAGAAATCGACCGTATGGCATTTCAGCTTCTTGCACTATCAATTCCAGCTTCAAATCCGTCAACAATTGCAGTGTAGTTGTATGCTTAAATGTTCTCAAAGGTCTGGTGCTCCAAAGGTCAGTTTGCTGTACGCTAGTTTTGCCTTCTTTTCAAAGATTTTTGCAAAGAGTAATTCAGGGGGCAACCTTCAACGACCGGAGGTCCCAATAAGGCAGTGGAGGTTGATGAAACGTATTTTACCAGAGGAAAATCCAACAGAAGTAAGGCAAGGGAGAAACAGTGGCAGTTTGGAGAGCCCTGAATGAAAGGGCATTTAGTGTTTTATCGCTTCAGTGGAACGACAAAATGCTGCAGCTCTTCTGCACTGACCAGGCAGTAAATTGTTCCAGAAACAGCTGCAGTGTTTGACCAGTGGGCGGCATATAGTACCAATAAATATATGCCAGAAGGGCATCAGCACCAGACTGTTAACCACAGCCTCCACTTCTTTGGTCCTGCGCCCGGTGCTTGCGCAAACACTATCTCTATATGGTCTATGCAGTAAAACTCCGAAAAGGACTATAAATCAAAGCATGTCGCATAGAGGGCGTTTTTGGATTTGTATATGGACGAATTCGTACAAAACAAAATATACGAGAATATACGAGAATATACGAGAACAACGTCTTGTACCACCTTCGGTCACAACTAGCCCACCCACCACCTCGTGGCTCTCTATGGATTTGTGGCAATTATTCATTGGCCAATGATCGGTTATAAAGCAGACCAGTTTTTGAAAAGGTCTCCAAAAGCGGACACTAATGGAGTTTTCCCGCCAAGTTTGAAGAATAAAGCAAGGAATCGGTTTTTAAAGTGTTCAAGTAAAAGTAGGATTTAACAACCTTTGGTTGATGTCCTACACCACACACCATCACAACTCGCATCCTTACGCTGGTGACTTCAGTAGGGCTACACAAATTCAATTTTCTCCACGTCGTGACATTTTTTCGAGTCAACCCGCCTTAATCAAAATCGAGTATTTAAACACTTCTTCTGTAACCACTCGGGTAATTAAACACTTGCATCATTGACGTGATGTCACTGTTTCAGCCATCTTTTACTAATGTGCCATGATTCTCACTAACGTTTCTGCCTTCCTGTTGTTACAAAATGTCAGAACCGTCCTTGTCACACTACTGCTTATAAATCCCCAACTGCGTAATGTACAGTTCCAGCGCCATAAAGGGACTTTGTAGCTGCCAGTCGAGATTTGGCACCACCAACATTCTTCCTCGACCGCAACAAACTTTGACGACTGACATGGAGCAGAGGCCTCTTTGAGGCCCTCCTCTAGACATATAGGTGGATCCATTTCTAATTTGATGTGAAAACAGAGTTTCAGGTGAAGGATTTAAGAAACGCAGTGGGAAAGCATTCAAAAGCAATGGTGAAAAAGTAAACAATTTGAAAAAAAAAGGCAAATGACGGAAAAGAATCAGCATTAGTTACTTTTTATATTCTCAGGACAAAAATAGCCCACTTTTCTATTGAAATTTAAGAGGAAATGAGAAGGTACCCTATGGACATAGAAGAGCCCATTTCTACCCCCTCTTTGTATATGTCAGAAGAAATACGGTAATTTCTCTTGCTAACTGCTGACAAAAACGCTGGCCCATAAACTAGAGCGTCTTTAACTGATTTATTCTGGAAATTCCGGGACTCTTTTTTCGTCATTTTGCTCGCCATATTTGTAGTCACAAATTGTCGAATTTTGCTGGAGTCTAACATTTTTGCTGAGTTACTTGTTAGAGCGGGCTTCGAAGGTTAATAGTTCTTTCCTTAATTTGTACATCTTTTCGTACAGCAAAAAAACGGCAAAAAATTGGGCAAGCCGCACGTAGCCATAACTTTGGCTTAGGCTTACTGAGACTGCCACGAATGCCAAGACAGTATTCACAGTCCGTTGAGGAAACATTAAAATCCCACTGGGAAATGCAGTGCTACCTAACTGAAAAATGAATTTCTATAGTATCCCTGGGAACCAGGAGGCAACTCAGCGGCTCAATGTCTGCATACCTTCGAAGTTGGATAAAATCTAAGAAGACGCTCTTTTTTAAAGCCTAATGCATAAGAACAACTCGATTTCAATGAGGCAAATGCTACTGAATTTTGGGTTTCACGCAGCGACCACCCAGATTCAAATGCATTGTGAACTGCAAAGGTTACACGGGTTTAAACAAAAAAAATTTTTCTTGAAAAAGCTTCTACTAAACTTTCAATATCTTTAAAAAAGCGCAAAAGCGACAACTGTTAACGGTTTCCAATCAAAACCACATCTCTTACCTGACTTTAAAAAGCCCACGCACAAAGAAAATCCTCCGTCGGCCTTTGAAGAGGAATTATGACAATACTTTCAAGAACTAAAAATTTACTGCAAAATTTAGGCATTCAGAAAAAATTTAGGAAACATGCCAAACGTCACAATGGAAACCTTACGATCAACTCTGGTTAACTTACTACGATTAAAAAAGGATGAAATGAAACACAACGGCTAGAAAAAAGAACCCGCGAACTAATAACATCAACAACGAATAACAGAAGAGTGAGACTTTAAGAAACAACACTGAGAATTTATACAGCATAAATGGCGAAAATACTTCAAAGTACAAAATGAGAAGCAACTTTTATAATCACAGTTTGAGCACCTTTATAGGACCCTTTGACGTTTTGAGCTTTTGCTCGCTTCTTTGGGATAAACTATTACCAACCAAATTCATAACCGCAGACGATGGAGGATCAGACACACTGAGCGTATAATTATCATCTAGACCATCAGGGCACTTCATTGCAGCCAACTCCTCTTCCAGCGCACTCCAGTGACGCTAAAACGGGAAAAACCTGCCTAATGATATTACGTGACTTCCTAAACAATAGTGACTTAAATAAAATAAGATAACTGCAAGACCTTCAAAGAAGCTAGATGGGTTTGGAGGGCTTGCACATGAGCATTAGTTCCATGTTGTTCCTCGACCTGCTTTTCTCCTTCTTTTAGCCACTTTGTTACCTGAAAATCAGTATCTAGAAAAAAAAGCAAAACTCCACCAAAAATAAAATACAAGTCCTTCCATCCCCATAGTAAGAGCGTTGTTTATCTAATTTCCAATACCAACTTGTGCAGTGATTTCACTGCGTTTAAGCCAAAAATGTTTTTGAACCACGTTCTCAAAAGCTTTTGGAGGATGACGTAACATCTCGAGCATAGCCCACTTCACAGTCGCTTGACGTATATTTGCGTCATATTCCAAGGATGCCTAAAACAAAGGTTCGACAAAGCTGATGGCAAACATTAAGAACTACTAGAACTAGAACTAGCTCCCTGAAGCACAAACAATGCAGAGCAACTGGCAAATCAAAAGCAGGAGTTTTAATCACGAATCGATAAACTAAGCGAGAAAACCTGTTGCCCGGTTTGCGTACATTTCGAACGTTCATAGCCAGGTTCGTTAAAATAGGGCTCAGATACAAGTATTAGAGATTGCATGCTGACTATAACCTATAATAGCAAAAGTAAAGTCAGTATGTGAGTACTTTCACCACCGTCATTTTTTCCGACTCTCGTTCACCAGTCTTTATTGAAACATTTCTCGAGGGATAACGAAGTGAAGCTTCGGGTGAAAGTGTTCATTTTATAGAAGCAGCAAAAGCCAGAGCAATAGTTGAAGCAACACCTTTTAGTACTAATAAACCAAAAAACCGCTAAATAAACGAGTGTCATTAATCTTAACAAGAACCTGCAAGAAACTACTCGTCTCTGGATTCCACCTCTCCTCAGGCCGTCCATGCCACGTATTTAAAATAGACAAACAAACTTTCCCATCGTTGTACAAGTTCGGGTTGAACCTCACCTGGATGCAGATGAAACTTTGTAGCATTTCAAATTGAGACAGGATTACTATCAGATGAAAGACAAAGACTACCGTGTGGTTGCCTGTTGTTTCCAAATTGATTAACATCGGCGAATTAGGATAATCGACAGGGAACCATATGTCAAATTCAAAACAACCATTCATATATGGTGTGTCTGCCGGTCCAGTGATCATCACCTTGAAAAGCTTCCTCGAAAATACTTAATCTTGGAACTGGTATTTTACAAAACCGAAGTCAAAAATGCTTATTTTAACACCATTTACTTTTAAAAGAATTAACTAAATGATGTGGATTTGACAATTAAAGGGACAAAATACCTACTTTCATCACATCGATCCTCTCTTCCGCGGCACGCAAAAAAACAGAGCTGCTCGAGGAAAGCGGTAAAGAATTACTAAGGGTAACTATTTCTTGGGCTAACCGACGAGTACGTTTACCAGCAGATGCCGATAATCCAGTTACAGGTAGAGAACTTTCGTAATGGTAAGGAATACGTCTTTCTTCATTAAAAAATGGGACAGTTTCTAGAAAATATAATGTATCTTCCACTGATTCAAAATTATTCAAAATACTTTTTATATTCATACAATACCCAAAAGTCGTTTAGTATTGATAACCACATCTCTGAGAACCATTTTCTTAGAATGCATTTATTTTACGTGAATAAGCAAAAAACCAATTTCTTCTGAAGAATTCAAAAAACCTGAGTATTATTCCAAAATTGGTGGAAAAAATTAAACTCGAATCAAAGTGCATTGTACTCTAAAGTAGAAAAAACATCAGAAAATGGCAGCCACTCAGGAATTAAGCAAGTGTAATAAGTTTTTACTTGGCGTCAAGCAAAACAGAAACTGTCTCACAATCAAAAAGACAATAAACAATAAAGATATTAAGTTAAAAACAATTACTTCATTCATGACGGAAGAGATATTAAACTTTGGAACTGTCAACTTACCAGTACTGTAACAACTCGTTATACAAGTCTCAAAATGTGTAGCAAAAAACTCATTTTTCGTTTATATTTTGCTTTCTCTTACAACGATTCAGGCCAACTAGTAAAGTATAAAATGTTGTGAAAGTTGCCGGTAATTATTTCCAAAAATCATTATGTAAACCTCTTAAAAATAGGAGAAAAGAACATTCTTACAGTTTGGCAACTTGCATTTTAAATTAACTAAGATCGTATAAAAATTTGGAGAAATCATTACGCGTATAGCAGTAAATAAACATATGGCTGCTTCACACTAAGCTAATAAAAAGAACAAGCTGTCAGCATGAAAGCGAATACGAAAAGTTTTAGCCCATTTGAGTCTTTAGTCTACCTTCTAGTAACAAAATATGGTACAGGAGCTCCAAGAATTGTCCTTACTTCTCCCAACATCTTTATTCAATACCCTCCTTGATCTTACCCAAAACAGCAGTGTTTTTCTTAAAAAAGTACTTTTTACTTTGAGTGTTTATTTTTTTCCCGAACAAAAGAATAAAAACAGAAAGAGAGCTAATCAGACCAAATTGGATTGGTCGCATAGTGTCAATATACATTTCCTCCACGGTAAGAACAGTCCTTTTGTCTTCCTTCTTCTCAGCAGGTTCATTTCGAACACCTAAAATAACAATTTATGAAATTATACAAAAGCAGAAGAAAAGAAAACAAATGACCTACGCTTAGAAAGTAGAGCACAAGTACGTAGAATCAGCGGTGACAATTTGATAAGCCTTTCTTCACTGTTCTTCGAACCATCTTCAACCTTCCTCCCCTCTCGAAGGTCAGCGCTAAAAAATTTTAAGTTCCAATAATGACAAGATTGTACAGTGAAGTACCAAATAAGACGAAACGAACCACAACTGAATATCAATCTTGCTCAAATATGCGCAAATACAGTCGTTTAACTTTTTTAACATCGTCAAAAGTGAAGCACCGGAGTCAGAAGTGGATAAAAGCTTAGTTATTGCATCTCCTCCTCCGGGTTCAAAAACACAAGGGCAAAGCGCAAGAGCAGTGATAATCTGCATAACAGCATCATAGACATCAACGTGTCGCGATATATCCAGAACTGAAAAGTTGAAAGAATAGAAAAAAAATCGCAAACCCAACTACTCTAAACAAGAAACTCAAGAAACAAAAGACAGTGATGAGTTACGCAGGATTTCTAAGTAAAATTAAAGAGAAAAAACTACTACACAGCACTTTTCAGCCATTAAGCAAATGTACCAGAATCGTTCCGCAAGTATGACCAGATAGCAGGGAAGAGACAAGAACGGTCAAGAAGTTGGATTACGCTATAATCCAAGCCGCAGTCAGGGGCGTACACTGCACCAGGCGGCCATTCAGAGCCTAAACAAACCACAAGAATCGTTAATAGTAAAATAAAGTTTGGAAGAGCAAAAACTGGAGCTTCACCACTGCAACCATGCTATTTAAAAAGTCCGTAAATCCAAACCATTTATTTCCAAGTTTGTTTCAGCCGTAATACTAAGCGAATCCAAAGATGGTAAAAATTCCTCGTTTGGACAAATATAATTCGCAAGAACCTTTAAAAAAAACAAAACAAAACAAAATAAAAAATCGTTTCAAATATAAAACGAAGAAGAATATTCACTAATATCTCACTTGAAGCAAATGAGTTACATTCTTCTCATCCATTTTCCTCTTCATAACATGTAAATCAACGTCCCATTGTTGCTGAGTGGTGCCACTTCCAAATCCAGTTCCTTTTGCCCAATAATTTTGCGGCTGGCTCTGCTGTTGGTTCATCGCGCTGTAACCAGCCAGTGCGTTGAGACGCTCTTCGTAAGCGGCATGGCTTGCATTATTTGTTATCTCGGCATAAACAATCTCCATCTGCGAAGCTAACTTTAACATATGTTCGGTTATTGAAACCTATAAATCTCGAACAGTTTACTTAAAAACGATAAACATTTAACACCGCGACTAATACTTCCGAAAAGAAGTAGTGGAAAGACTCGTTAACATCATTTCTTCTTTACTTCGTATAAAAATGACCTAACTGCATATATCAGTAGCATGTAATATCGTAATAAAAGCTTCTCACGTAGCATCTTTCTTCTTATACTAAAAGAGCGAAAAAACTAAAACCAACGGCGAAAAATTAACGTCACTTTAATTTTAGAAACAAAAAGAAATTTTACCGTTTCCGGAGTGGGAAGTAAAGATTTAGGTCTAACAGGGGTAGCCCTATGACGCTGATGACTAAAATGAGAGAGACACGCGAGAACAATGTCAAGTACTCCGTACTCGACTGACCTCTTGCGAATAGACCTGAAATGTTTAATTTGTTCCACAAAATGAAGCGAAGATCCAGAAGACGGTAATAACTTTCGACTCTTGCTTTTATATAATTTATCTAGGCGTCCTTACAGCTCATTAGTAACTAAGACCACAGCAGTTTCTAATACGCCAGGCAGCTACAAAAGCTCATAAACTTCATTACAAAAATGAGATCAAAAGACAGAGCTTAGAAACTACTCACCTTCCCGCTTCAGAACTTGGAGGATGGCTCTTATAGAGATCTTTTAGTACAATAAAAGGAAGGAGCGAAAGAAGTTCATTTTCTGAGGACTGCCTAGCACTGTCATCCGTCTGGCTCAGTTCGTTGTCTATACGACGATCGTGAGAACTGGTCAAACTAACACCTAGGACATTACAGTTGTTCAACTAACCAAAGGCAGAAAAAATTACCCAAAACATTTGATAAAAACGAGACAATTTTCTCTGAATATAAAAATCTAGTAACATCAACTCTCAACTTTACGCAGTATTTCAAAATAAAAAAACTACAGTTCACAACTATAGAGCATGCGAGTAAAAGGCGGAGGAGGAGGTAGAGAAAGCAAGTGTGGAACACTTCTAAAAAGAGAATTTACCTGCTAAACGATCTGACGCAAAAATCCCCACTGCCAACTGCAAAAGTCGCTTCGTTCGATGACGATCAAGAGAGACGAGGTGTTCAGCATAACCGTCCAGCCTTAATAAAACACTGAAGGCTATTATAACATGTGGAGACAAGATTGAGACAGCGCTACTCGAGCCAGCAGACGTGTGCCTCACTTCCTTCTGAAACTAAAAAGCCGTAAACAAAACTAATGACAAGCTCAAAACAACAAAATGAATAAGCAAAAAGAGAAGACTCACAGAACCGAGATGAAAGGGGACTGTGAACTGCGATGGAAAGATGTTAACTCCACTCACGGAACCCGTGGAATTCTTATTCAGATAATCGGTTGCAGTCTGGGCAATGGGTACAGAGTCGTAAAATGACTCCCACTGTTGTTCATAAAAATTCCCTCCCTCGTCACCAAATGCCGACATAGCAGGCTTAGGGACAAAGATACCAGTACCGTATGTATCGTCCTGCACCAGCTGATCAATGAACAATGGATACGCAGATAAATCAAAAGGACTGTTCAGTGAATTAGACGTCGTCTGCACAACCGAAATCATCTGAGACGGACACGAAATAAACCGACTTGTTGCTGAGGAGCTGAAAAAAACCTTCCACACAAGTCATTTTAAGAGAAAGATAAACCATAATTGTGGTGAACACAATACTTCAGCATTGCCACAGCATCATATGACGGTTGATAGAGCTGAAGATTTTGGGTTAGAAGCGCGAAACCACCTCCACGAGCAAAATGGCGTAGTATCGAGACCTCTGCTTTTAGAACATCATCCGCGACCAACATTTGAGCCCCTATCACAAATGAATAACTAGGCTAAAAACCACAAAAAAATATATATATATATTGGCCATTCCACGTCAATTGACACACTTTTTCCCCTTTATATTCTGAAATTTTTTTTTTATTTTGCTATTTAGTAGAGTCTGGGACAGTGTACAGAAAGCGGAAAAAACCTAGAAAAGTGGACCCCTCGCCAAGCTACACCCTGTCAAGGTTGTAAAAGTTGTCAGGTTGTCTAGTTTAGCTTGCCTTGAATATCGAAAATTTATTACGAAAGTTGCATTTCACTATAATAATATTAACGAACTATTATTCTGCTAAATTGTAGAGAGGAGCCTTTACTGAATTACTGTAACTTAACGATGATGATCCTGAAGTTGCTGTACTCAAATAATCAGCATTCCCAATGTCGAAGGTGTTTGAGTACAATGTTGGCTACTTCTTATTTCTCATGCTCTTATAACTTCTCCATTTTGTTAGAAAATGAATCATACAATAGATTGCAAAGTATCAAAAAATCTTTGCGAGACAACTTTCTTAAAAATTCAATACACCGATGTTTTTTCCATTCCTTCGATGCCTACCATTCATATCAGTCATGCACACTCCTAGTGAAATAAGCGAAATAGTTCAGAGTCATAACTTTCGCCCTTCTTCATTAAAACTGCGAAAACGCTCACCAAAAAACCAAAAAACGTCCTATTTGGCAACGAGAGACAAAGTTATGTCTTCAAACCCACCCGTTATTTCCAGCTCAAAACTAGTTTACTATTTTGGTGCATAACTAGAAGGGTAAGCACAACGGTTCTGATAATCAGAAGTTAAAGTTTGTGCATAATTGAAGAAGCTTCCAAGACATCAACCAAATCGAACATTTTGGTATGGAATGGCATGAAATTCATACTAATTCTCACTTGTTTAAGGAGCAAAAGGCTACAAGTCAAAAAATTGGAACCTTCCTGAGAAGCTGTGTCAATAGTAAGAAAAACGGTGAAACATCCATCATACGGATCCTCCATCTCCAACCCCTTATATTCAGCAATACCGTCAGTCTCCAATTTCAATTTCTCTGATAGTTTCTTCTTACTGAAAAAGGAGTGAGGAATAACCAGTAAATTACGATTACCATAATTAGAAACTCTGTATCGGATAAACGCTAAGACCAGTAGTACCAGATCCATTAAACTTCCAAGGGATTTTTGAAGAAATATTGGTTGGAAAAATACAGTCTATTTATATGTAGTCCGAAGCAATACCGTACTTATTCAAGGAATATTCAACAGTAACTGCATTAATTAGATCCACAACTTTGAGGGAACCGGGCATCGGCAACAGTCTCGTAGGAGAGTTACAAAGGAGTAGTGGAACATCCATCTTGTCTCCTGCACAACAGTTTCGTC